TTCATACTTTATATCTTCCACATTCACAGTTGTTAGTAGATGTTTGCAGCTATTTTTCCTCACTCTTTATTGCCTTCCTATCTAAGGGCTCTCCCTCCCGTGTTATAGTGCACTCTCTAACTGTGCTCTATTACTCATAGGGCTTTCAAAAGACTGTTACTTCAGAAGTGGCTGGCTAATCCTTTTTCCTAGTCTGTATTCAACTGGGAACTCTGCTTTACTACAGCATCTGATAAATAAACTCTGAACCCATGAAAGTAGACAGTGAGCAAGCATACATATGATAATAAGAGTAGCAACATGCAAATCACTTCCCCAATATAAGAAACTGATGGACTGTACAGGAATCAGATTGACTTACCTCTGTGGAGAGAATCACTGGAGAAACTCAGTATCAGCATTCAAACCCAGACCAGGTTCTCACTTTGGAACAGACATTCATATACAAATTCAAACTGAAGCTAAAAAAGGTAAAAACAAGCCCACGAGCACCAAAATAATACCACCTTTAGGCTGTCCTCCTGAATTTAAAAATCATCTCTAGACTAGGTTTGAGGCATTGAACATTAATGACTGGAGACCAGATGAGATGTGAAATGACATCAAGGATATCATCCACGAAGAGAGCAAGTGTTTGTTACCTGGACAGAGGAGGAAGAAAAGACCAGCATGGATATCAGAAGAAACTCTAAAATAGTACTGGAGGGTCTAGAAGCCAAAACAAAGGGAAGAGATGCAGAAGTGAAAGAGCTGAACAGAAGATTTCAAAGAGCAGCTTGAGAAGAAAAAGCCAAGTGTTGAAACAAAGTGTGCAGAAAGCTGGAGACGGAATACAAAGAGAAGAACTTGCTTGCCATTTCTCAAACTCATATAACTGAAAAACAAATCCAAGCTTCCAATTGGAACACTGAACTGCTGTGGGCAAACTCGTCAGTGATCCAAGAAGTATCAAAAGATGGAGCAAGTACACAATCATTATTCCAGAAAAGTTGGTTGACACTGACGTATTTTAAAAAGTACCATTATGAACAAGAGCCAGTGGTAAAGAAGGAAGAAGTTCAAATTGCACTGAAGGCATTGGCAAAAAATAAGTAGCAGGCATCGATGGGATACCATATCAGTTGACATGTTTCAAGTAACAGATGCAGTCCAGAATTTGCTAATGTCTATGCCTGGAATTTGGAAGACAGCTGCCTCGCCAACTGACTGAAAAGGATCCATATTTGTTCCCATTATAAAACAAGACAATGAATGCTAATAGAAGCAAAATATTGCTAATGATCATCTCAAAACAACTAAAGCTGCTAGTGGTTACAGCTGAGTTTAGAAAAGGCTGTATGCCAGGAATATCAACTGATAATAGATGGATTTTGCCAGAAAACAGAGAATACCAGAAGAATGTCTTATTTGTGTTAAAGTGACTGCTCAAAGATGTTTGACTATGTGAACCATGCTCTGGTTTACATTGAGAAGAATGGAAGTCCCAGAACACTAATTATACTTATATAAAATCTGTATCTAGACCACGAAGCTGTTGTGTGAATAGAGCAAGGGAACACGGCATGAGTGTCATGAGGGCTGTACCCTTGCTACCTAGCTAGTCAGTCTGTATGCTGAGCAATTAATTTGAGAAGCTGGCCTCTATTAAATATTTGGCATCACAATCAGAGGAAGACCCATCAAGAACATGCCTTTTGAATTTGGTTGCTCCAAGTGAAAAGAACTCAAACTTGATGCAGAAGATCAAAGCTGTACAGCCTTAACTATGTTTTCCATCTCCACATAAAGAAAACAAAAATCTTAACCAATGAATAGGCACCATCATGATAGATGGAGAAAGATTGAAATTATCAGTAATTTCATCATACTTGGATCTGCAGTCAACAATAACAAGAAAAAAGTCATTTGGTGCCAGCAATCAAGAAATCAAACAACTTAATACATTGGGAAAGACTGCTGTCAGTTACCTTTCTAAGGTAACTGAGGAACAGTGATGTCAGTTTGAAGACTAAGGTGCACCTGGTTCAAGCCGTGGTCTTCATTCTGCTATGCATCTCAGAGCTGGACCAATGAATGTTTGTCGTTAGGTGTCGTTGAGTTGAGTACAACCCATAGTGACCCCATGAACAACAGATCTGAACCCTGATCTATCCTGTGCCATCCTCACACTTCCTGGCACACTAGAGCCCCTTGCACTAATCACTGTGTCAGTCCACCTGGTTGAGGGTCATCTCCTTCAACAGCGTTCGGCCTTTTGAAGCCTCATGTCCCTCTCTAAGGAATAGCTCCTTTCAGCAACATGTCCAAAGGTATGTGAGGCAAAGCTTTATCATCTTTTTCTCCAAAGAGCACTCTGGCTGCACTTTGTCCAAGAAATATTTGTTTGTTCTTTGTCCATCCACGGGATGCTCGTTAGTCTTCTCCAACACCACAGCTCAGAGACATTAGTTCTTCTGTCATCTTTACTCATTGTCCAGCTCTTAGATGCATAGCAAGTGATTAGAAAGACCATGGCTTGAATCAGATGCACCTCAGTCCTCTAATTGACAGCATTAGTCAGGGAGAGATCCCTAACTGCAGACATTGCCAGTACAATATGTCTCTTGATTCCCAGACAATCTGGTACCAAGAGTGTTGATTGTGGATCCAAATAAGATAAAGTTGTTGATAATTTCAGTTTTCCATCTGTCCTGATATTGCCTATTGGTCTGGTGGTAATTTTGTTTCCTTGATGTTGAGATGCAGTCCATATTGAAGGCTGTATTCTTTGATCTTCTGCAACAAGCAAGGTTGTATCATCTGCATAACACAGGATATTAATGAATCTTCCTATAGTCCTGGTGCCACATTCCTCTTAATAGAGTCTAGCTTCTCAAATAATTTGCTCAGCATACAGATTGAATGGGTATGGAGAGAGAATACAACCCTTACACACACTCTTCTTTTTTTTTTTATTTTTTAAAATTTTTTTTAATTTTATTATTTATAACTTTCTTTTTTTCTTTATTATTATTTTGTGTGCGTGTACCGTCAAATCAGATCTGACTGGTGCAGGAGGATATTGCGCCTCCTTCTCCGGCAGAGCATCTGGTGGATTCGAACTGTGTTCCTCTGGGATTGCAACACACACTCTTCTTAATTTTAAACCTTGTAGTGTTCTCTTGCTCTGTATACACAACAGTCTCCTGGTCTAGGTACAGGTTTCATACGAGCACAATTCAGTGCTCTGAGATTCCCATTCTTCACAGTGTTGGTGACAGTTTGTTATGATCCACACAATTAAAAGCCTTTGCATAGTCAAGAAACAGTAAATAGATGCTTTTCTTTTATTCTTTACAATGAATTAGAATGAAAAAAGATACTTTATGTTATGTTGTTGGACAAGAGTACTGAATGTCCCAAAAGAGCAAACAGAAGGTGCAGCTAGAGTGCTCCTTGGAGGCAGAGGTGATTGATGAAGCTTCATCTTACATACTTTCGCATGTTGCTAAGAGAGATTATTCTTTGGAGAGGGACATCATGCTTGTAAAGGTAAAAAGAAGTTCAGTGAAAGAGAAGAGACACACACACACACACACACCCAGTGAGATGGATTGATACAGTGACTGCTGCAATTAACTCAAATATGTCAGAGATTTTACACACACACACACACACACACCCAGTGAGATGGATTGATACAGTGACTGCTGCAATTAACTCAAATATGTCAGAGATTTTGAGGCCTGCACACGGTAGGTAGGACAGAGTTCATATCTGTTCATAGGTTTGCTGCGAGTTAGACACAACTTGAGGTCCCCTAATAGCACACACCTGATACCTTTTCTTTTTCGTACTGAACCATTTGAAAAGAAACTGTCCACATCGTGATGTTTTATCTTTAGATACGTTAGTGCATATCTCTCTGCCCTATGTAAGTGATACTCTTTTTCTATCCAAGAAACTTAATATAGATATTGTCTAATAATATGGTACATGTTCACATTTCTGCAAGGTTTTTAAAATCCTTTTGGTATTTTAAGTTTTGTGTACCACTGATTTCTTCATTCTTGATTGCACCTTATTAGCCTGTCTGACTGGTTCTTCTGGAAGCACGTGCCCTGCCTCTCCATCTTGATGCCTCTGCACAGTGTGCCTTTCTGTGGAATTCTGCTGTCTTCTTTCCCTGCCTGGTGCAATTTTGTCCTTCTAAGCTAATTTTATTTTATTTGTTTTTTTTTTTAAATTTCTTTTTATTATTTTATTATTTTATGTGTGTGTGTGTGTGTGTGTGTGTGTGTGCACGCGCATACCGTCAAATTGGATCTGACTGGTACAGGAAGAGATTGTCCCTCCTTTGCCTGCAGAGCAGCTGGTGGATTTGAACCGTGCACCTCTGGGATTGCAGTGCAGCTTCTTGCCACTAGGCCACCAGAGCTCTCCTCCAAGCTAATTTTAAATAGCCCCTCCCTCTTCCATGAACTGTTTCCTGCATTTCCTCTACGCTGTTGCTCCTCCTTTAAACTGTGAGAACCCTTTGTAGAAAATTATTCTTACCTCAAATCTGGAACTTGTGGCCTTCATCTCTTTTAAAAGTACAAACTTCTTAGTGTAAGCCTCTCTACAGCCTTTGCTATCCATTTTTGTTGTATGTTAAGTATTTGTTTAATTGACTTAAATTCAGAATGTGTTGCCTGGTATTTTATTTTTGGTGCATTTCATTTATTTATAGTGTCTTCTGTTTTGGAAAGAAAATTGTAAAATTTTTAACATCTTACTAAGGAATGGAAAAAACTAACATATATGGACTTTTAACTTTTATACAGGGATGAGAACCTTTGTCTCTTCGTCTCTTTGGGCTTTTGTCGGCCTAGGAAAACTGGCAAATGCACCTGTTGTCAGATGTATGTGTGGGACTATGTTTGCAATTGTGTTTATAAATGTTGGAAGGAGTTTACGCTCCGTAGGAAGTGCTGTGGCTAACACATACAGTTGTGTAAGATCTCTTCTTTTATTCTTAGGTTCGAGATGCAGCAATAAACAGCTTAGTGGAAATTTACAGACATGTAGGAGAACGCGTGAGGGCAGACCTCAGTAAGAAAGGATTGCCGCAGTCCCGGTGAGTCAGGCTTCTGCCTTTCTTCTTTCCTTTACCCCTGGTCTTTCCCAGCTAAAATTTTAATGCATAGTTTTTTGGTTGGTTTTTTTTTTCCAGTTGGGGTAGTTTTGTCCAAAGAATATGTAAGCAAATAATTAAGTGGTTTGAGAGGTCCAGATTAGAAAACAGGGCCTCTGCCCAGGCTATTGTCTTACTAGTAACACAATGACCTCATCAGATATCTAGACAGGTCCCATGCTAGGCACTAGTTTAAGGTGGTTGTCAGGTTTTTTTGGCTGGTTCATGTCAATTGCTGACCCTGTGGGTAACTGGCAAGCACTTAGCCATTGCACTACCAGGCTGTTGGTTTCATTCCTAGGTCTGTTTCCAAAAAGACCTGAAAACAAGTTAATCCAACCCATGTATATGTCCATATCATCAGCAGCATTATTCACCAAAGTCAAAAGTACAAACAAGGGAGCTCTAGTGGCAAGAAGCTGCACTGCAATCCCAGGGGTGGGTGGTTCGAATCCACCAGATGCTCTACTGGAGAAGGAGGGCCAATCTCTTGTACCAGTCAGATCAAATCTGATGGCGCGCGCGCGCACACACACATACACACACGCGCGCGCGCGCATGCACACAATAAAAATTAAAAAAGTTTTAAAAAAAAGTACAATCTAATTGCCATTGAGGAGAAAGAATAAACACATCTTGACATGGTTGTAAAGCTGCATATTATTCAGCCTTAAAAAGCAATGAAATACTAATCCCTGCTATAATGTTGATGAGGCTCCAAAACACAGTGCTTAGTGACGAAAATAGGTACAGAAAGCCACTCATTAAATGTTTCATTTTACATGAGTGATCAGAGTAGATAGAGACAGACAGTGAGCTCTGTGGTTGTCACAGGCTAGGGCTAGGGCCCAGGGAGTAAGGATTTTAATTTGGAGTGGTGAAAATATTTTGAGACTTAATCTGAACTGTGATTTCACAACATTGTGACTATATTAAATATCACTAAGTTGTTCATTTTAAATTCAGTTCATGTTATGTGCCTTATTGTATGGCTCCATATCTCATACGTTGGGCACATGGCCAGGAGGGACAAGTCTTTGGAGAAGGACATCATGCTCAGAAGGATGAAGGGACAATGCAGGAGACAAAGAACCCAGATGAGATGTATTGGCACAGAAACTGAGGTAATGGGGACAGGTGTGTTGAAGTCAGTGAGACTGGCTCAGGGCAGGGCAGGGTTCAGAGTTGTACAGTTTGATGGCACACGACAACAACACAACAACAGCACTGTCTAAGTGGAATATTTGAATATTCTGGAATCTTATTACATCTTTATGGAATTTTTTTGCTATTACGTAAGGATATTAAAGTTTTTGGTTTAGCAAGATTCCATAAACTAATAAAATACTTGTAAATTACTTCTTTCTAAAACTTATTCCTGGAATAAATATATCCTCTTAAGAGTTTGGTCAGTTGAATATTATCTCTGAGAAGAATAGTATTAGTTGTATCTCTAATAAAATACAGAATGCAAACGTGGATGTGCTCATTTGCCTATGCCAAGAAATTTGGAGGATGGGTACTTCATCACTTAGAGGAATAGGCTATTATTTGTGTCCATTCCAAAGAAACTTGATCCTCTGAAGAGTGGAAATTATCAAACCATGTCACTAAAATAAAATGCAGTTAAAATCTTGCTGAAAAGAATTTTAAAATGTCTAGAGCACCACTTTGACAGAGAACAGCCAGAAATTTTATA